CGGTGTTTCCAGGATACTGATTTTAACTTTAATTTTGGCCATACACTAAGATTTGAAATGCCTGTAACTTTTTCCCATTTGTAAGTTGAACGATGGTACTTGGCAAATCAATGTAACTTTGGATAAGCTTTAAAATGATATATGACACATACTATGGGAACATTGGTGTATGTCTGTCTAGGGTGGGCCCCATACTTTCGGGACACCCTGTACACACTGGTATAGCCTGAAAACGGTAAACTCAGATACCGTTGTCACAAATGGCGGACATAACCCAGGTTATCCAGGTTATCCAGTCATGTCAAAACAATTAAACCTACTTTCTATTGAGTAAACCCCAGTTTTCATTCAATTGCCAATTACCAGATTATACCTGAGTGTCATTATTTTCGTCACACTGTACTATAACGTACTGTAGTGTATAATGACCTCTAATTTTACTGTGTTATTAACACGTTGAATTTCCAGTGTTCATTATAAGGCCATGTTATCAAGATTTTTCATGTCATCAATGTTCTATTTTTCTTTGTTTCTGTCAAATATTTGCCTCTCAGAAAACTTCTCTTATATTGTCTCATAGTTATATTTAATAGCCCCTTGCTCTGGCATATATCTCTGTATCTCTAGGCTCTCAGGGCCTTTTATTCATTACCCCTCATGGTTTATATTTTTTGCCCCCTGCTTGCGCATATATTTTCAGGCCCTTTGAGCCTTTTATTTTAGCCCCTTGCTCGGGCATTTATATCTAGGCCCTCAAAGCCTTTTATTTTAGCCCCTTGCTCGGGCATTATATCTAGGCCCTCAAAGCCTTTTATTTTTAGCCCCTTGCTCGGGCATTTATATCTCTAGGCCCTCAAAGCCTTTTAATCTCTAGGCCCTCAAAGCCTTTTATTTTAGCCCCTTGCTCGGGCATTATATCTCTAGGCCCTCAAAGTCTTTTATTTTAGCCCTTTGCTCGGGCGCCCCTTGCTCGGGCATGCAAATCAAAATATGCTTACCACTGCTGAATGTACGTCTGGCCACTTCGAATTCCCTATTTAGAATAAACATTCACTCTACTCAATAATATAGATGTCACTTAGGAAACTGAAAATACCCATTTGTCCCAAGTACAGGTGACCCCAAAAACGTCACCCCTTAATTTGGGAATAACTATATCTCCGTTTTAAAGGACTTTTCATGATTTTTTGTGTAGATAGAGAGTTAAATGCATAAATCATTGGAATTTACCCAATAAACAGTCAGTGCATCATATTTGACGAGATTGTTGAATTGTTTAAAGGGTAGATTTTACATTCTATTCAATTTTCAATTCAATCCAATTTCAAAATAATTTATTTCAATTTTCATTACAAAAATTACAACATTATACAGGCTATGACACCCCAGGGGGTGTATAACTGCCCATAAATAAATTTACAATCAACATGATAAACTGTGAACATTTAAAGTGGTACATAGGTCAATACAATAATATAATATGAATACAATGTACAAATACAATAATATGAGACAATAAAGAAATGAAATAAATGTTTTGGTTATTCTGTACTCAGGAGGTCAATTCAAACGAGATGATAATGTGTATGAAAGCAATCCAGAAATGGCTCAAATGATGGCCAAGACAGAAATCTCAATTTCAGAAAATTGCATTTTCAACATTTTTGGACAATATCACTAGACCATATATGTACCTGGATGGAAAATGTGATCATTTTAAAAATTGGAATTTAAACAGTCTATATACGCAGATAAATTAAAAAATCATGTTTGAGTTTATACTAAAATGAGAGGGTAATTTGTCTGGGTCAACCTGTATATGGAGGTGTACACGTGAATAAGGGAGCACGCGCGTTACTCTTTTGAGAAATCTTGGCTATGGCCTAAGTATAGCATTCACATCACAAAATAAATCGAAGTGATGGATAATAAATGCTATACCTATTCAAATGCTTGTGTTTATAAATGATACATACATGTGTGGTTTTTATAATAACTAATTTCAAAATGTTTCTATTATTTGATATTTGCTCCTGGGGACTAATCAGCTCCGGGCAAGATTTTTTTGTTTAGAATAAAACAAAACGAAGGCGCACAGATTTGAAAGAAAATGTGTCTTCATCAGTAGCAAGACAATAAGTAGTTGTTTTTATGTTAAAATAAAAAATAATAACAAATTTTATGTTAAATTGATTGAACAAATGTATTTATAATTATGGGAAAAATTTTCAGTTGCTTGAAAAAGATTTAAAGAGTAAATAGAATTATTATATCATTGCTAGAATTTGTGTCCTTTGATTGGCTGATTCAGTACCATGTGATCAAAAATACCAAAGCGTATTTCACAGCTCCCTTAATTTTTGAATTATAAAAGACGTATTGCCCGGCGTATTGCCCGCCCGGGAATTCTGAATCGTCCTGTTTCGTCCAGTACAGTTGTGACGTGCATCAAAATGGCAGACGGAAAAAGATTTAAAAGTCTGAATTCCGATATAAAGAACGACATATTGAGGGATGTGCATTCTAAAAACACCATTAAATCAACGGAAAAGTCTTGGAACATTTTCAAGTGTTATGTGGACGAAAAAGATATCGAAATAGACGTTAAATCTATCAATAAAATCGTTCTGGATGGAATTTTAGAGGATTTTATTCTTGAACTGCGAACGAAGGATGGGTAATAGACTATTACAAGAGTGTCAGTCTGCAAAGTATTCGTCATGGACTCAATAGGCACATACAAAGTCTACGCATAAATATCATCAACGACTCTGAATTCACCAGATCAAAGTCAAGACAGCTAATTATGTTGCTATGAGAAATCATTTGAAATCATTGGGAAAAGGAGAAACAAAACACTACCAACCAAAATTAGCGCATGTCTAGCAATGATATAATAAAACAAATATTTCATTCTATGTTCGGGCAATACCTGTTGCACTTTCAATGATTTTTGCAACATGTATTACCCTCGCCCTTCGGGCTGCGGGCAATACATGCTGCAAAAATCATTGAAAGATGAACAGGTATTGCCCTCCATAGAATGAAATATTTGCTTAATATTGCAAAACTAAATCAATTTGTTAGTATTAAGTTGTGCGAATTTATTTTTATTTCTTTGCATAATGTCATGATGATCCAGTGTCTTCTCAAAATTATACAATTCCAACCCTTGCCTAAGGTTGCCAAACTTTTGGAGAGAATTGCACTACTTCATTATGTTTTTATTTACTGGTCATATAAATTGAATTTAATGTTTCTGGTTTTCCACAAATATTTTTTTGGGAAACCCTGACCACCGAACCCCCGGTCCCTACGGCTATGTGGATTGGAATGCACATAGTAAGTTTTTAACTCCATATTTGGATTGAATTCTGAAGTCACTCCATCCATACTTCACTGCTGGGGAACCAGAACTGGAAATTCTAAAGATGGATTTGTATCTGTAAGAAGATGAAGAACTGAAAAATTGTCTTTCTTCTTGATTAACCAAGATACAGATCATAAAATTAATTACTATTTTCTCATACACATCCAGATTGTTGATTCTGTAAACTTTGGCTTTGGCAAAAAGACAATACTACAATTGTCAATGTTATGGCTAATTCATAATTTACTGCATCCTTTTCAACAATAAACAAATCAGAAGGCCCTGTGCTCACATAGTGTAGAACCTTTAGAGGAATGTTTATCCTGACTTTCAACCAAAATATTGATTTGTAGTCTCGAACCTTGAGAAACTTCGATAGCACAATTTGCGACCAAGTTTGATGACCTCGAGACCTTAAAATTTTACTTTTTCTGAGCTCAGTTGGTCTTTTGTGATTAGGCTGACCAAAATTTGGATCCAAAATTCAATTTGAACGTCACTGAAGGTCAAGGTAGAATCTCAAAACTAAGGTCAGATTTGAACTGGGAACTTGTAGATGATTTTTTGAAAGACTGGGTCCGAATTGAAGCATGTTAGAAAATTTAATGTGAACATATATGAACAAATTGTAGAGAATACTTAAACCTACATGTACAATTTAATTCATCACAAGAAATAATGAAGTATGAGGACAATCTTTGCAAAAAATGTCAATCGCAAAACCTGCCATTGGCTTTATACATGAGAAAGTTCCTGAAAATGAGCTGAAAAGTCCTTCTTTTTGTCAAATATTATCGCAAAGTGTAATTCACTATGTGGGCCAAAAACCATAGTGGAGATTTAACAAATCTATGATGAATTGAAAGATAATTTTGATAAAAATCACATCTGGGCCTGTCACAATCTTGTTACAAAAACAGATGTCTGGGTTCCTCCAAAGTTGGATTTAAATTCTAATGCTACATGTATAAATTTGAGACTTTAAACTAAAAATAAATATTACTGCATTGTTGTAAAACCAAAATAAATACTAATGCTAATAGCTTATTGTAATTTGTACTAATTCAAACATAATCTCATCACAAAATAAAAATAAATAGATAGTATTGTGAAAAACATAGTTCAAGTACAGTGTATCATATTCCTTGTTTCCTCACGTTATTTGTTCTTCCCAGATTTTTTTCGATCTGGGGGACAGAGTTAAAGTTCTAGACTATACCGATCAAAAATTATATAAGGTTAGTAACAGAATAGTGTCTCAACAACTAATGTACAATTCTTGACTAGTTGCACGATCGCTGGATTATCAACCATATTAGATTTTTTCACTCTAAAATACCTCTGAAGCATTATTATTCCACCGATGAGAGAAAGAGATGAGAGGAGAGAAACTATCAAGAACTTCCAGGCATTGTAGAACTAGCAGTTGAGACAATATTCTATCATTCACTAAAATGACATTTGAAAAGTTTTTCACCAAACCTGCCCTAGCTTTTTCTGAATAATCAAAAATTTGGACAGACATTCTGATTTGTCACATCTTTACATTGTACTTTGCCACATCTTTGTACTTTGTCATATCTTTGTACTTTGTCACATCATTGTACTTTGTCACATCTTTACATTGTACTTTACCACATCTTTGTACTTTGTCTTAACTTGTCCTACATGAAGGTGTTCTAGCATCTGTTCTCTTATTCTCAATCACAACTGGCTCTATATCAAAACAAGTTCCTAATTTAGGTGTCTCAACTTCAGGTTCTCGAGTAGGTGTCTCAGTTCCATTGGAACTTTGTAAGTCTCCGCTTTCTGGTATTTTGTCATAGATTTGTTCGATTTGTGATTCTGGAGGCTTCAGGTTATAGAGTATTATCCCCACTATTATAAGCGCTATAGAGAAGAAGTATAAAATATGGAACTGAAAATAAACAGAAAAATAATTCATATATCATATTAAATAATTCATATATTAATTTGTGAAGGAGTCACAATGTTGTTATATTTAAGGTGAATTGTTTTTGACCGTTGGTTCTAAGATGACAAGATTTTTTATGTACTTTATTATTCAGTTTTATTAATAATTCTATATGATGTACAAATTAACAATAACCTTTGGTGATAAAAAAATCCATAAAAAGTGAATGCTTCGAGGCTGGGAATGGAAAGTGTTTACACTTAGAGGTGTTCTCTGGTATACTTTAAGACATAGGTTCTGGGCCGATATAAAGATGGCAGCACCAACAGAATCCAGTATTATCTTTTTATAAACACAGATCGATTACCATGCCATCTTTATTTTAAAATTATTCCTATCGGCCTTTGCCTCTGTTTTTAGAGCATGCATGTCAACTTGAAATCCAAAGTGGGAATTGCATTAGCATTGGTACTGTACTTTTCAAACTAGTTACCAAATCAGATATGTTTCGTTAACAAAATGTCAAAACCTCAAAGGTACTATTTTCTCTTTTTCCTTATTTCACAAGTTGCAGGCAGTATCTCAGCGACAGTTTAAACTGCAGATCTTAACCCTTTTTGAAGTTCTGTTTACGTATCAAAAGTGAGGTATTACATCAATGATTATATTGTCTTCTTAACTATTTGTTTAGATTTTCTTAAACATGATAGTGAGTCAGTATCATATGTTTAAGAAAATCTAACCTGACAAATTAGGTCTCAATCAGTCAGTGAAATCAAGTAAGTTTACTCTCGGCAGGATATTGAAGATTATCTTTTTGAGAATCAGTAAATTGAGTATTAAGAATCTTAATCAATTAAACTTGTGTCGATCAATTAATCGATGATCGATTAAAAATTCACACCTGTAATTCTGACACTGTATGTGATAAAAATGTAGTAAATAATTTGCCTATAACTTGTGAAAAAGTAACTTCGAGGTTCCAACATTTTGTTAACAAAATGGACTGTTTCGGTAACTAGTTTGAAGAGTAAGGTACCAGTGATAAGGAATTTGCTTTAGACATTGAGAAATTTATTTTTACCGGTTTGACTGTTCACAAAAAAATACACAATCAACTAGGTTAATTATAATGGATACATAAGCATTACAAAATATGACACACTTTGTACTTACTTTGTATTTAAACAAGAATAGACCTAATAAAACAGCATAAAAATCTGCAGACAATAGTGAAAGATTCACTGCTGCAGCACTTGATAACTGGATAGCAATTGGGAATATGGAATATACTGCAAATAGGCACACTGCAAACCCCAATAGTAGGAGCACTGAAATGGAGAGTGAAGGTGCAATCACCAGCCTTTCATCATTATGTTTTGTATTCAGCATTTGTCAAATGTTCATTCTACACGCCTATTTAATCATGTGACCAATACCCACAAATCAGGTTTTTGATTACTGTACTTCTATTTAATTTTGTGGCCGTTTTAGTTCAGTGGATCCATCAAATTGTTAAAGTCTGCCAAATTAAGTCGCCACCAAATTTCCCTGTAATTTTAGTACCATGTTGATTAATACCATCAGTCCATTGTAATATTGCAAGTCTGCTAAATTAAATAGCTGCCAAGTGTTCAAAACAGCAATTCCGCCAACATTAGTAGCACCAAATTAAATAGAAGTACAGTACATTGGAAAACTGGATAAAAATATATCTCAAATTAAAAGTTTTAAGTCTTGGATATATTATGATATAGCATGATGCAATATTGTGAGAGTGAGAGGCAAGTCTACAACAAAATTACAGATTCAATTTCAATTAAAAAAAGACAAATATTTCATTACCTGTGTTTAAATTAAAATCAACATCTGACACTTCTCGCCTCTCGAACAGAACACTGCAAAAGGAAAGATTGATATAAAGTACAGATAAAATTCTTACATTCAGAGTGGAAAAAAGCACATTTTTAGTGGCTGGCAAAATCCTTAGAGACCTCTAAGAAAAATGCTTTTTGGACCTTTTCAGATATTACCCGGCAGCAAGATTGTCTATTTACAAAAATCTTGCATGATAAATAAGACCAACCTATAAAAGTTGAAAGGTCAGAAGAAATTGTTTGCTACGTGATGATTATAAATATAAAAAATCGCTGTATACATGTACATGTACTTACAATTGTACCCCATTGATGATGCTTCCAAACATTCCCAGCATGCCTAGAAACTCCACCCGATCAAAATTGCGCACTACAGCCTCCTCTGCAACGTTTGAGACCCCATATAGCAGGGCACCAGATATAACAAGTGCATCGCCCAAAAGTTGGTTCTCGGCTGGAAACATAAAAAACAACCTTATATAAAATGAAAGGTGTGGAGTCTTTATTGTAAACAGAAGAGATGATATGACTGTGTCTGATGCGTGACTGATCCTAAGTAAAATATTAGTCATTAAAAAGTTTAAATGATTACAAAACTTTAAAGGCACCGTGGAGAGGGAATCAATTCAATTAGTTTTTAATTGTCTAATTTATTACTTTCATGCCTAAAAAGATTGTTAATGCATGTTTTAATTATCATCTAAAAATGTGTGATGTCATGAGGTTACACTGTGATGTCATGATGTTACACTGTGATGTCATGAGGTTACACTGTAATGTCACTTCGGTGGCACATACATTTGGAAAAGAATTCCCAAAAATTCATAATGTCCTCAATATTTGAAATATAACATATCTTGCTCATCGATTTATATTAAAGAACCCAATGAGATTTGATTTAAGAGTATGCAGTGCCAATACCATTCATATATATTTAAAATGTTGCTCAGAGATTAACAATGATCTCCCTGGCATTAAAGCAACTGGGTGCAGCATCCACCTGATATTTTAAAAACAGTCTTGCACCCACTTGAAAATCCATTTGCACCCACTTGGAAATGAGAAAAATCATGAAAAATGGTCATGTTTTGACAAATTTTGGCTTGAATTGTGAAAATGAGAATTTTGCACCCTCTTGTTAAAAACCCTGTGCAGAATACTGTACTCTACTAACCAGTTCCAGACCCCGCATTATTTTTGGAAAGTACATCAGCTAAAACGAGAGTCCCTATCCCAGCTAGACAGAATATAACGCCACCTATATGGGTCCACCTGTAACGTACTTTGAGAAATAGCCATGACAAGGCCAACACTGTAGGAATAGTAAAGCAGTCAAGTAACTGAAAAAAGTAAAATATAGTTGTACAGATGATTAAAGTGCAACATGAATATGAGGAACACTAAACTTATGGTCATGAGATTATTTTGGAGAAAAAACATGTGACCAAATGCTATTAGAGTCTGGATGTTTCCTTGTTACAGCATCATGACATGTTATAATTTTATTCTTTATTAAATAAAATATACATGATGAACAAAGATATTATCTTATTTAAATTTGAGTTAGATTTTGTTGTTCATTAACTTGAACTAAAATGTACATTTCGCATACAGGGTGTTCCAAAAGTAACAGGACTGGTGCTGGTATATTGTTAAATATGCACCAATCATCTTCAAAATTCTACATGATGTACATCTATGCATGGTAACTAAAACTGCAAAGTTTCGTCAAAAATTATGAAAGTCGGTTAGAGTTATGGTTGCTATGGTAACGTGACATCACAATACCCGGGGCAACATTCCAAACAGAAAGTTACTGAGACTTTAAGCATTTTGTACACCCCATATCAAAGTTAAAATCCAACAACTGGTGGGAATTACATTTGCTAAATACATCATTTGATATTCCTATGTATCCTCTATTTTAAAAAAGTAAGCTCCTTTTTGGTCAGTCCAAGAGTAGTACTCCGTATCCATGACTCAAATACATGAGTGAACCCATTTGAGGATATTGCAGGGTCGATTGGACAACTTGGAAGCAGTCATTCTCATCTTTAAAGGTCTTACCGCGCTGATTAACATTCCATTCTCAATATAAGTAAAAAAAATTAGATATTACATGATCAGAAAAATATGGTGCATGGTCTTAGTCCTCAAGACCTAGGTCCTCTATAGCTGGTCTTTAATGCTGACTTGCAGGCAGGCATTATCAAGGTGGATAACTGGCTTCAAATTGGGTCTTTTCAGAAGCTCAACTATAAATTGTGCAGACTGTCATACATAGTGATATTCCAGTAAATTGAATAAATATTATTATTAAGAAATCATACATGAATCTGAGTTGTATAGCAACACCATTACTACAAAGCAAATAATAAAACAAACAAGAAATGTTGTATTGTAATAGGTGAATAGATCTTTCTTCAGTATTAAAACCAAAATGTTAGATATTAAATTTTCATGAAAAAGTTGCCCCGGTATTGTGATGTCATGTTACTATAGCAACCATAACTCTACCCGTATTTAATCATTTTTTCTGAAACTATAGAATTTTAGTAACACTACTTCAAAGTACAATTTGTGAAAATTTGAACATTCTCGGTTTAGAATTGACAAAATGCCAACACCAGTCCTGTTACTTTTGGAACACCCTGTACTTATAACATAGATTACATGGCCAACAATGATGGGGAGTTTAAATTGGTCTTGCTAAAGCCCTTGTGAACTCCCCCTCCCATTCCCACTACAAACCTGTCAACAACAAAGTGGTTGAAGGATATAAAGGGTAGAGTTCGGAGAATTGAAGTTAGACCCAGTGCTAAACATTTCTAAAATCTATTAATTTTTGAACTTGCCAAACTCACTTAATAAGCCCATAATTAAAAAGTATTACCTGAACACTTGTAACTGTGGTATAATGGTAGGCCTTTACAATCAGATAGTTGGCTTCAACATCAACAAACCCAATCAACATATATTTCCACCATCTTTCCTTTAGAATCCCCAGAAGACTAGATTCCCCACTGCGACATGCAAGTATGCTGGTGTAAACCACACAAAGTAAGACATAGTTGAGGAAACTCTGAGCTAGAAATACAGCAAAGATATCCAGCTTAAATTCATATGCATTAAAATGTGGAAGTAATGGATTGGATCTATCGGATTGGTTTCATGCATTGGCTTGGCTAAGGTTGATACTTTTTACTCGATAGAAATAATTTTCAAATAAAGATGGCATGGTAATCGTTCACGTATTTATAACTATTCTAAATAATACTGGGCTATGTTGGTGCTGCCATCTTTATATCGGCCCAGGACCTATGGTTTCATGTCATTGTGGATAGGATTAAACTTTAAAAATGATTCGAACATGACTGTATTCACGCCTTCTATAAACTGTAATCAAAGTCAATGCTTCAGCTGGGTTATATTCGAGTATAATAACCCAGTTAATACGTGTAATGTGTGACGTCATAACGGTGGGTCGTAGTAATGGCGGATCATGATGAATTATTCGAAACAATTTGGTGAATTTTCATGTTCGAATCGTAATATAGACCTCAGAGCAGGGTTACTAGTTTCGAATAACACGCCGCTGGTCTCGGCACAAAGCTTTCGAACCCCTCACTCCCTTCGGTCGTTCGGGGTACAGAAAACGTTTGTGCCGAGACCAGCTGGGTGTTATTCGAAACTAGAAACCCTGCTCTTTGGTCTATATTTCTTAATTATTTACAGTTATAGAACATTTATTTATATTGTAAATTTTGATGACAATGAATGCAAATTGCCATCTGAATAATTGGTTAATTTGTTAAAGTTAATTCCAAAGACCTGATAGATGACCTCAGATTGGGATGATACCACTGAATAAGAACTGACCTGTAGGTATGGCTACCCCACGATCAGTCAAGAGTCCACTAGTCACAGCTGTACCAGCAAGAAAGACTGCAATCAACTGTCCCAGGGCCAGAGCTAGCACCAGATTCCTAAACATGATACATATACATGTATATTGATCATCATTAAGACAAAATAAAACAAATATGTTGAACAATGAACATCCTTGTTGTGACATCTTTTGGATTGACAGCCACTTATAAGTACTATACTTGTATGTAATAATAGGAAAGATCAACTCGAGATTGTGGAAGAAAATCAAAGCCCCCCCCCCCCCCATCTACAGACCCCGGGAACAAGAGTTCACTCTCCCACCAGGCCATCCAACTGTCCTGCAATTTGGGTATTTGTCACGCATTTGCTGAAGAAATTGAAGTCACACCTGTTTTTTTTGTGTGACAGAATATATCAAGCAAATACACATTAGCAAAAATGTTTCAGTTCACGCCGAAAAAATGCATGCCAAAAAACAAACACCCCGGGAACAAACACCGAAATTATTGAACATACATGTAGTTTGTTCAGAAGTTTCGCGAGAATTGCGAATATGTCACGCTTTTGCTTTGTTTTATCTCGTCCCTCCCATTTCTTGGGAAATACCTCCTAAAGAAACAAATGTAGCCTACTATTATTTTCATGGCCTGAGTTCGTCGCTAACATGCTAAATATAAGAGTTAGCTGACGTTTGGGAGTCTGACTTACCTTCTAAAGGTTAGAACCCGAATCTTAATGAAACCATATTTACACCTTTGTTCCGTCAACCATGGAGCATTTGCCACAACATCCAAGAGGTAAATCATTGACCGTGAAAATGAATGATTTCCTTGTAAGTTCCGGAAGTTTCAATACGAAAAATTACCGAACATATGTGGAAAAAATAGTACAGTTGAGTATTTTCCAAGAAAGATTCTGGCAGTGGCATCCTGCAAGGAATTCATTTCAAAGACATTTCATATCAGTTTCAACTTACCTGGTGCATTTCATTGTTCACGCAGAACTATAAAAACGACGATATGACTGATTTTCAGGTTTAACTTGCCCTCTTACATGCTTGATTTTGTTGTTATGTAGCAACATCTAAGACTTTGAAAAACTTTAAAAAATTTACTGGGTTACTCATGACTCAATTTCCATGACACACCCAATGAAAATTAAGCACGTGAAAATTTTCCGAACGTAAACATTTGGATAAAATGAAGCGTAAGAAGGCTAATCAAAATGCTGTTCCTAGTGGAGATGAGGAGGATAACGTAAAAAAGAAAAGAGATGAGACAGAGTTTAACGAAATCGAATTCAAGATGCTTATGAAAGAGCCACACACAAAAATGAAAGGTAGTAACATATTATCGCCCACACAAAATATTTTTTAGGCAAATGCACTATTAGAACAGACAGTGTTAATCCAATGGGCCAACTTACGAATTTGAACTAATATATTTCCCAATCCAAGATTTCAGAAAATCAACCACGTATACCATGTTCAAGAACAATGTATCCTCTACTTACCTTCTTCAAAGGCCACTGTATCGTTAGACTGTATCCTTCGTCTGAATAAATATTCAGACTGTAAGTCACCTATTGTAAAATGTGGTGTTGTATAAATGTTACAAATAAGTTTGTTTAATGATAAAATGATTACCTTATAAAAAACTTACAATATTATTTTTTCGTATATTGTCCTCTTACTGAAGATATTCATAAAATGTACAGACGCTTCATGTAGCGAAGTCATTGATTAGGTCAAGCCATTTTGGCAATGCCAATTCTCACGATAAACGAGATTTAGCCAGTGACGTCAGTCTATTTGTAAACAAATAACACGTGGAGCGGACGGAGAAACATTACGGAAGCGTATTGATAAATTCCATTTGTGCGGGAATTTATTAGATCTAGTCATTTATTATCATTATTCCGATTAATTTTCGTCATTTGTAGTAAATAGAGCGGAAATATTCATGAAGAAGGCCGAGGTAATCAAGTGGTCATGTGTTTGAAGTTAAAAGTCAAAGTTCACAAATTTGCATATCTCGTTTGGATCTCGTAAATTCAAACGTCCTTGACATTGATTTCGCTATCTACTTATGTGCACAAAATATCGCCGAGATTTCCATGCCAAGGGTATCAATCATAACAGACCGAATATTATATTCGGTCTGTTGGATACATACTAACTGTATCGTGGCCTTCCAGTACAGATATATTCCTGCATGAACAACTGGTCATGTCGTAATCATAAAATTTGAAATCATATGTCCGCCATTTTTCCACATCACAATTTGAATTGCGAGTTTTGGTCTTATTACCTCACCAAAAATTCCAAAACACACAAAGTGATCAGTGTATTAGTTCACATCTTCTGGATCGCTAACTTAGAATTTACAGCCAGTTACTAATGTCAGACGTTAACGACATTTCGTCCAGTTTTCGAACATCGCCATTTTTCTTGGAGCCATTTTGTTCTAATTTTAGACGAAATCCTGATGAAATCATGTCATATCTCATCAAGGAGCCGAGCTGGGTCCGGTTTGATTAATGATTTATTTATCTGGTGATTTTTCAAATAGAGTTCACACAGTATTCCAGATGAAATCCCCTCTAGCCAAGTATTGGCTAGAGACTCGAGTAATCCTCTACCAGTGATAAAAATTTGAAAAACTGAAAAGATTTAGTCATAGAGTCTATTTCATGGCCTGACTGCTTTGGTAGAACTTGAAAAATAAGATTTACCTGAAGATTAGGAGTCTTACTTACCCTCTAGAGGTTAGAACACACATTTCAATGAAACCATATCAGCTTTGTTGCGTCAACTACAGTGCTGGTATATTAATTGATCAGTCGTTTAATTGGCATATTTTCTTGAATTTTAACATTTAATATCCCAAACTCCCACAAACTGCAGAAAAGTATACACTATAACTGCATTAATAGACTAATACAGCAGACGACCCATTCATACTTTCCGTGCAGCATTTCATTCAGACCAATAGTTCAACTGTAGATCATGCAGTTTTTTCTATCTTAGAACAGGCCATCCTCCTCTGCCCTGTCCTAAACTCGTCTGCTAAAGACTGCAAAACATTATTTTCTAATATTTTAATTATTTTTCCATCAGACATGGTTGGATGACATGTCACAAAATTAAAGTTCAAGGTCAGTACATTATTTCGTGATAGGGGCAATCACAGGCTGGTATCGAAAAATTTGTCCGCTGTGACGGAGCGTGCTATTTTGCATAGAATCACTAGGAAATCCACACAATTTATTTTTTTACTCATATGTTTTGCTATATCAAAGAAAATTACTTACTCCATGCAATGAATATATCATTTGCGGGTAACTTTAAATTCTGTTTGAAGTCCAACAACGCTATGAGTAAAAGCTATTGAAAATGGCGTCGGAGTATCATACTCCAAAATGTACCATTTCTTTTATTTCTTTTTAATGGTACAATATACCGACACGATAATATTTACATATGTTTTCAGCATAACTCTGAAGGTATTAATGAGATCTTTATGTATTGGGTATTTTTAATTTTTTTGATAAAAAATAATAATTAATTTTTTTGTCCGCTGTGACGGAGCAGTTTCAAATCTGAAATGCGTTAAGAATTTAGATTCATAATATATTTCTTTACAACTAAACTTTAGAGGAGCGAGCGTGTCAAATCTCTTTCGTAAAGTATTCTGAAAAATGAAACGTAATAAAAGTACACAATTCAAATTCTGAGATGTATATACGACCACTCTTTAAGCTTCTTTTCTCAGTTTGTACTGCAATCCAACTTATGAATGGTAACTCATGAAAATGATAGTCAACTTCCATTTCAGTAAATGGTATTTGCCTTTCGTAGTGCCCTCTGTGGATCCATCGGCCTGACATGGTCATTTTTACGGTAACTTAATTATTTGAAGTAAAATGATTTGCTGAAGATGAAGCTAAATACATATAATGGTATGGACTGTGGATTGTTCTACCCTCTTTAGTCGTTCCAAAAGGTAAGTTGAATGTATCTTGAAATACGAAAAAGCAAAATTTGATTTTAAGATCGTTCTTTATTTGACTAAGAGTTATGGCTATCTGATGCAACTACAGTAAAATATGTGTACAGTGAAAACATATGGAGCCCAAAAATGTGTTCCCAGTTGGTATAGATGTTCACTCCATAGAGGCAATTTCATACAGAAGTCAGAGGAATATTTGATAAGAAGAGGTATTCACTAGAGAAAGATATTCATTGATACAGGTTTTACAGTGCAGCACGTTTACAAAGACTTTTTTTTATAATTTCAGTCTATGCAAAACGATGAATTTCATGAATTTCAAATAATTACAAATTAAATCTGTATGGATCATCTTATAAACAGTAATATAATATTATGTGGTAAAAGGTTATACATCTGTCGGAATGTATGATGTCTGTGCGCTCTTTCGAATAAGTAAATTCATATTAGCCCTATTTACACTACACGTGACATTTCAAGACGTCTAGGCGAAAACGTATTAGAAATATTATGTTGAGTTTACATCATCACGGTGTATAACCCAAACGCTCCTACATGCACGACGGAGCGTTTCATTTACGCGGAAACGCTCTGGAGCGAAATAAAATGGCGGCTAATGAAGATTCCACTATGACCGTAAGTATTGTTTCTCTCGTTTCTCTTACATATCATATGTTATGGTGAAATATTATGTACCATTCGATGAACAATACCGTGAGGAAAGATCTTATTTATTCAACTTCTGGTGGTAAACTGTTATTTGCTTGATCAAAGCTCCGTAGTGTAGATCGAACGAATCTGAAGATGACGATTTGACCACAAATTACGAATTAAACTAGTATTTCTATGAAAATGTTAATCTTTCTGTTAAAGTAGTAGATCACAAACTCGTATATTCTCATTTCCTAAAATCCCAGTCCAAATCCATTACTTGTACTCGAGAAATCGCTTGTTTTCCTCAAAACGCTCCGTCGATTTAGAACACAATTTTAGAACAGGGTTCGTACACCTGGAAATGTCAGGGAAATTGATTTATTTTTCCAGGTGCTGGAAATGTCAGGGAATTTTAAAATTGGGTCAAAAAGAGCCAAAAATGTCAGGGAATTTTGAAACAGTAGATGTGTCAGGGAAATGTCAGGGAATTTTGAATCATTGTTGAAAAAAGAATGTTCTAGCAAAATACATTTTAAGGCTTAGTGACAGGATATCAATGAAATCCAAAAACTAACATTTAGCTGTTTCCACTAATTGTAAATCTTTTCATTAGGGTTGATTGAATGGCATTTTATCTGGTTTTGTCTATTTGTAAGAACAGAGTGAACATTATACTGAAACCAAATAAAGAATAAATGTATAAATGGTTCAATACAATTATGCTTTTCCATGTACATGTAGTAAGTTAGTCTTAGGCCATTCAAAGTTAATTACTGGTATATGTTTCATGGTTTGTTGGGTTAATCTGAGGAGGGTTGGATGTGAAAAGCGAAAAAATCTGGGATGATTAAATTAACATATTTATCTATTTTAGACGTTATAATTTAACTGACCTGCCTACCATAAATACATGAAATACAGGTTACCATGGCAACCTTATTTCAAAATTAATTTAAGAAATAGCTGAAATATTTTGGCATCGTATGTGTAATTACATAATCTACATGTTCTGAAAAAATGAAAGGGATATGTGGAAAATTCACAAAATGGGAGCATTTTTATCAGAATATATGGATCGCCCCTTGTATATAACTGTTTTTGTTAACTTTTTTTGTTTTTTTAGTGCAATTGTTTTTGCTCCTTTCTACCAATTCTTGAATGAATGAAATAAAATGTCTTTCCTAACCTTGTTGGAACAAAATGGTAAATACAACATGTTTTTAGACTTCTCAATATTATAGTTATACGAAGGAATTTCTGGTTGATTTTAAAAAAGTCTTCAAAAAATTAAAATAAAATCCCCCCAAAATAGATAAAAATCAAGATAAACCTTTTATTTCATTAACAAGATACTTTTTGAAAATCAACTAAAATTTCCTTTGTACAATTACAATATTAAGAGACCTAAACATGTTGTGTTTATGTTGTTTTGTTCTAATGAGGTTCGGAAAGATGTTTCATTTCACTCTAGAAACATGATACCAAGACCAAAACAAGTGTTTGGTGTGTTTTCTAAAACAAAAAAGATGACCATCAAATTGACGATGTGTTAAATTTTTAGATTTTTTTAATGACTGGTTTAAGAGAAATGTGTGTTCAAAAAGTTCACCATATCGATACCACTCCTTCTATATACCAATGCTTTTGTTACTGTATATAGAAGACACTTGCCATTTTTCATATAATGTTCACAATGATAGTATTCGATAAAATGTGTATCATCAGGTGGGAATTGCCCCTCAGGGGAGTTGCTATTTTTCTTTAGATCAACATTTTTAAGTTTCAGTTTTTATTTGGATCATTACAAAACATTAACAGATTATAGTTTGAAATGCTTAAAATGCACCATATACAATGGTCAATTTTGAAAAATTTTCGGGGGTGAACCCCCGTACCCCCCTTTTGGGTTTCCTTCGCTCGCAGTGATGCAAACCCCAAAAGATCCACCTCCTTGACATTTGTTGGCTATGCCCCTGTAAATGTATGCTTACCTTTGGCCTCATGCAATGTAAATATGTAAAATTGAGAATATAATGTATCAGGAATAAATTGGTGAATAAGATGGCCTAAGTCATGACAAATGGTACAAAAGGACAAACCCAAAATGCTTCATAATAAGTCTTGCCTTTATTTATAAAACACAGTTGTTTGAGACTTTTTAGAGGTCGTGCAAGGAAAACTAGATCTGGAAATTTCCTTTTTTGCCTGGAAATGTCAGGGAAATGTCAGGGAAATTCATTTTGAAAAAGGTGTACGAACCCTGTAGAAACGCTCTTACCATTTTGTTTTGATATCATTTTCAGATTATTAGAGAAGAGTTCCGAATCGAATCTATCTCTCAAAAACGTGTTGTACTTGTTAGGCAAATTGAAACATCTGAACCTGGTGGTGCTAAACGTGCAACTAGCTGATTTAAGCCTACATTAGATGATTTCATGCCTACATGTGTGCTAAATCATAAAACTATAGAAAAAAACTAAAATTTATATGTGATTTAATCTTTCTTCTTTTGATGCCAAGGGGTATAATAGATCTTTTCTTTCGCTTCCTGGAAGGGAAAGGCAAGCTATATATTTCCTAAACTGATCTAGACTACCGGAGCGTTTCCAGTTCACTGTGTTAACCAGATCGGAGCGTTTCTTGAATATGAGAATGTCATCATTTTTAAGGCTGGATTTTCGGTCATCAAATCACTATTACGATAATGTATGGTGCGTTGAAGCATTGGAATTTGACTAAAATATACGTTGGTGCTCTAGTCTTGGCTCAACTAATCACATGTATCGACAAAAGGGGTTTTGACCGGTAGAATGACAAATACGTTTTTGAATTTTGATAACTATACTGCTTCGTACAGCTCTTCCTAATTGCTTCAACCGTCAACAGCCAGCCAAGTACAACATGAATATCACACCCATCGAATGGTATACTCGAAATATGGAACTCATACCTCTTATTCCCATTATTGGGGAAATCGTCAGATGGCTCATCATTCCCGCCAGCCAGTTTTCCTACTCCGGAGCGTTTCTTTGTTTACTTTCAGTAATGAAACGCTCCGTCGCGCATGTAGGAGCGGATTTACATTACCCCATATATCCAAGAGGCTGCTTGTCTTTATTTAGGAAAGTGATTTGTGACGTTCTCTCTTCTAAGGGTACTTTTAAAAGATATAATTTGAATCTTAAATTCTTAACGTAGTTCAAAGTTAAAACTGCTCCGTCACAGCTGACAAAAAATGTAAACATTATTTTTTATAAAAAATATTAAAAATACCCAATACATCAAGATATCATGAATACCTTCAGAGTTATGCTGAAAACATATGTAAATATTATCGTGTCACTGTATTGTACCATTAAAAAGAAATAAAACAAATGGTACATTTTGGAGTATGATACCCTGGCGCCGTTTCCAATAGCTTTTACTCTTAGCGTTGTTGGACTTTAAACAAAAGTTAAAATTACCCGCAAATGATATACGCATTGCATGGAGTAAGAAATTTTCTTTGGTATAGCGAAACATATGAGTAAAAAAATAAATTGTTTGGGTTTCTTAGTGTTTCTATGCAAAATAGCACGCTCCGTCACAGCGGACAAATTTTTCGATACCAGCCTGTGGCAATGCCCCCAAAGTAAACACGAGGAAAATGAAAAAGTCCAAAAAGGATTAACACAAATTTCAATCAAGTACTGTGCTTATGCTTCATCATGAACAAAACAAAGCTGATATGGTTTCATTGAAATGTGTGTCCTAACTCTCAATCTTCAGGAATGCATAATTAGAATGTGTTTTGAGACATGTTTTATTTCGTAAAAGGAAAAGCTGATTGCTCCAGGGACTTTAAAGATTCTGAATTTGGATGACAAAAATGTACTGAAACCAATGGATATCATGAGCTTTTTCAATTGAGAAATAACACGGGGAACGCTAATCTTAGAACAATTCAGTTTTTCTTTCAATTAATGTTTGATACGTCAAAATAAGGAATAGTAATGCATCAAACATTGTAAAAAATGATTGCCTTTTTGATGAAAATGAGGTCAACATCTTTGAAAAAGTGTGTTGATGGGTTGATTGCTAGTTCAATATTTCCAAGTCTGTTTGTTCTCAAGTAACAGTTGCTGCCTTTTCATACAACTGAGAGTACATGAGTCATGACTCAATTTTTACTTGTAGGTATTGAGCAATTCATAGAGCAGGCCAGAGCATATGGTACAACGACAGAGACAGACATAGTTCACAATTATTGTAGGGGCTCAATGGAGTGTACGGAGATCATGTCATGCATGACAGATACAAAGAGAAAACCAACTGAGGTACAGTAATCTGGGAATGAATTAAAAATAAGCTTAATACTTTTTGAGGAATTGATTGATAGCCTTCGTCGTATTAAGAAAAAGTGGAATATCTATTAATTATGGAAATGTGAACACTTTTAGATGGCTTCATCAATGTTTATTGTAGAAACAAGAAATTCCTGTATAATGACTGGTGTTCACTTAAAGGCCCACTATACTTAATTCAGAATAAAAAAATAAAACAATGATCATTGAAACATGTTACTCACACACCTGTTCAAATATGACACAAAGTTTGATTAATGCTTTAATATTGAACCAAGAAAAAATAACTCGCATTTGAAGTTCAGAGATCATTAGACATTCATGTACATGTTAAACAAAGTGCATGTTTTAAATTACCATCACTGTATTTTATTTCTAGTTGAGTGCCATATTCCAAGCTCTGGAATGTATCCTGCTACGTATTGCTGATGATCTGCAGAAGTTCAAGATAGTAGGAGAAAATATTGTGAAAAAGATGCTGACCTCCAATATGAACCAGGTTTGTCAAAATTCTTTTTTTACACATGAGTTTATTCAATGAGTCAACAAAAATGTACAAACCATTGATTACCAACATTTTATAAAAAAAACAACATTAGGGGCAATTTTCTCATGACATTTTTATCCCGATGTCAGTACTTTCAATTATGATATTAAAATTGACTTGTATTGACTGAAATGCTCATATGTCTGATTTCACCTTGAATATTAACTTCTTGACTACCTGGAGTGACGAGATTTCTCGTCACCTCAGAAATAACCCTGAAACCCGAGAAAATCCGTCACAAAGTTTCTCACTAAAATTGCTCTTATTGGAACAATTTTCATCCAATTTACACAAAAATTGTTTTCAATTGTGTAGAAATGATCTCGTCTGCAGTCTCGTTTTACTAAGTTGAGCATCCAAAATTGTATAGGTATGTAGTACAAAATCTAAAGGTGGCAAAAATGACTAATTCTCTGGTTTCAACCGATTTAAGAGCCTGGGATTCAAGAGGTTAAAAATGCAAATTTAATGCATCTTTGTTTTCTAGATATACTTCTTGCTTGCGATGCGTAACAAATCAGGACAGATAAAGTCTGCACTGAAGCTTCTGTCGGCCATGGTATCCCAGAGTGCAGAGATGGCACGTCAAGTACAGACGCAATTTGACTTTTCATGCAGAAACCTTCCACCCTTGTTAAACAGACGAGACACCAAGGTAATTCCAAATATGACTCACAGTACAAAATATCCTATTAGGAGTGTGTAATGTGTATGAAGAAGACTGTAATTCTAATTTTGGTCTCATCTTGACATTGGCTGTGTAGGTGGAACCCATTTTGTTAGTTTTTTTGTAAAAAGGCCAGGTTTCTTTGTCTAGAAAAAAATGAGTTTTCTGTAAGCACCAAATCATTGGACTACTATTAATATAAGGCATTAACACGCAAAATGTCACCACCTGCCATTTGTTACAAATGCCAACAGTTGTTACATCAACCACTGAATGCCAAACACCAACCACCGAACACTGGCCACAAAAAAGTTGGAGACTGTAATATTAATTACTCGCCACTTCTGACGGTGACATAATAACTGGACTAATATAACTGACAAATCTTCAACATATCTTGAAAAAATTGAGAAACTTGATTCTTTCTAATTTGTGCAGGACCCAAGAGATGTGAGAACCTGTTATCTTCATTTTATGATGTCTTTCCTTGTAACTGGAGACAAGGGGACAATCAGTGCTATTGTTGACTCAAAGGGCTTTCTCAATGGCTTGTTCCCAGGGCTGAAGTCAGACAAGGCCTTCACTATACAATTGGTCTTGAATACACTGTTGGAAAAGGTAGGGGTTTGTAGCAGTTTAGGTTGGTTAGTTGAGAATGATTGTGTTCCAATCATTTCCATTTTAGGTGAAATTGAAGTTTCATTAAATTCATGAAAAAAGACTGTTAAAAGGATCCTTCATTACTGTTAAACAGCTGCTGTTAAATTGCTGGGGTTTATTTCAAAACCATGTGCATCTACCTTTGATTCCATATGATTCTGCAATCTTATAACATGTTGGTGCATTTGTCCAGGTTAAGTACTTTCTGTCGATATTACAGATATCTTAGATATCATCTCTTAATATTACAGGTGGTAAGAAACCCTGGTATTTCCAAGACATCCAAGATCAGACTTTTCAATGATTTCACTCTGAAACAAGTTGCTCTGTTGTATGAATGGAAAGGTCAGGGAAAGAATATCAAAGAGAATGAGTCTGAGACACCTGCAGTGGACCTTAACAGACCACCCGCTAGTAGTGCTGAAATAGATGCTGTTCTACAAACTGTGCAGGAATTCATGATGGAAGTTTGCTGCTCCGTGAATTATGGAATCAACTTTCACGACAGGACAATTGGTACATCTGGAAAGTAAGGCTACTGTAATAAATTAAAATTATAATTATATTCTAGGAGTTTCTTGAGTTAGAGTTAAAGAATGTTTTGAATGAATTAAATTAGCTCATTAGGGCATTAGCAGCATTTACATTTCAGTAATATTATATGGTACCATATGGCAATATCTGAATGTGATCTGAACTGAAATTCTTTATTTCAATTCTATATTTCCTACACCTAAACGTATCCAAAATAAATAAGTGTGTATTCTTTCAGAAACATGAATCATATCCTTACAAATCTTATGAACTCACTGAGTAAACCGTACGATCATGACCTCACCAGACAGTTGATAGTGAACATACTACGCCAGTGTCCAGACCAAATTGGCCAGTACCTACCTACGTTTCAGTACTCTCTGTCTCCTAGGGTCTCACCTAAATGGTTGGCAGCCATGCACTTTTTAAGTGAGGTAAGTCAATTATGATAGATGAGTAAAAAGTAGAATTGCAATATGTTCAATAACTTTTGGATAAAGAATCACAGAATATCTGAACAAAAGGGGGGGGGTTTCGCTCGCACCCCCTTAACCCCTCCATGACTACAGGCCTGCCACATAATACAATTGAGGGATTTGACCAAACAGAGTGTCATTTACATATTTGTTGATTACAAAATGTTACATTAAACATATTATAGATAATTTTTATATCCATCTTTCTTGTCTAGATCTACTCAGTTCAGACACCAGAGACATTACAGTTTAGTGAGAACACACCAACAACAAAGATGGTTGCCATGACAATGACACTTCTAGCCCCACTACCATTAATCAGCTATCCCATAATGCAATCTGTCAAGGTACAATATGCACTTGCCTCCAATTTAACTCACTTCAGTTATATTAAACTGTCAGTCATTTATCATGTGTATATATACATTCCAGTAAATAAAACTTTAATCTTCAGGTATATTGTTAAATATTGAATATAATGTTTACTATCAAAAACAAATATTAAATATAGTATACTTTACTATTATGTCACCACCAAAAGTGGTGACATATTGTTATGGTCTCCGTTTTTTTTGCGACGGCGTCCGGCGGTTGGTGGTTGGTGTCCGGTGGTTGGCGTCCGGCGGTTGGCGTCCGGCGGTTGGCGTCCGGCGTCTGTAACAATTTCTTACAACTTCCTATAACTTAACAAATACTGTTTAGACTGACTTCAATTTTTTTCTAAATCATCTACATGTTCTCAGAAGTTCAAATCTGACTTTAGATTTGACATTTGACCTTCAATGACCTTCTCAAGGTCAAAAAGGTCTTTTTTCAACTTGCTTCACATTGACTAAATTTTTTTTCAAAATTATCTACATGTTCTCAGAAATTCAAATCTGACTTTAGATTTGACATTTGACCTTCAAATCTGACTTTAGATTTGACATTTGACCTTCAATGACCTTCTCAAGGTCAAAAAAGGTCAAAAAGGTCTGTTTTCAACTTGCTTCAAATTGACTAAATTTTTTTTTCAAAATCATCTACGTGTTCTCAGAAATTCAAATCTGACTTTAGATTTGACTTAAGATTTGACATTTGACCTTCAATGACCTTCTCAAAGTCAAAAAAGGTCAAAAAGGTCTTTTTTTAACTTGCTTCAAATTGACTAAATTTTTTTTTCAAAATCATCTACATGTTCTCAGAAATTCAAATCTGACTTTAGATTTGACATTTTACCTTCAATGACCTTCTCAAAGTCAAAAAAGGTCTGTTTTCAACTTGCTTCAAATTGACTAAATTTTTTTTTTCAAAATCATCTACGTGTTCTCAGAAATTCAAATCTGACTTAAGATTTGACTTAAGATTTGACATTTGACCTTCAATGACCTTCTCAAGGTCAAAAAGGTCTGTTTTCAACTTGCTTCAAATTGACTAAAAAAAATTTTCAAAATCATCTTCGTGTTCTCAGAAATTCAAATCTGACTTTAGATTTGACTTAAGATTTGACATTTGACCTTCAATGACCTTCTCAAAGTCAAAAAAGGTCAAAAAGGTCTTTTTTCAACTTGCTTCAAATTGACTAAAATTTTTTTTCAAAATCATCTACATGTTCTCAAAAATTCAAATCTGACTTTAGATTTGACATTTGACCTTCAATGACCTTCTCAATGTCAAAAAAGGTCAAAAAGGTATTTTTTCATCTTGCTTCAAATTGACTAAATTTTTTTTCAAAATCATCTACATTCTACATGTTCTCAGAAATTCAAATATGACTTTAGATTTGACTTTAGATTTGACATTTGACCTTCTCAAGGTCAAAAAGGTCTGTTTTCAACTTGCTTCAAATTGACCAAATTTTTTTTTCAAAATCATCTACATCTTTTCAGAAGTTCAAATTTGACTTTACAAGTTCAAATCTGACTTATATTAAGTTTGAACTCATAATATTGTGAGCAACTAGGTGGTGACATTTTGTCATGTTAATGCCTTGTTACTATTTACTGTACTTCAGAAACCTGAGCAGTTTATTAGGCATACAGTTGTTGAGTTCACTCAGAAGATACTGCTGAAAGTGAAGACATTCATTGGTCATCTCCATAGTGACAAATTCAAGTCAAAGCATGCATGGCTGACAAAGAAACACCACACAGAATACATACAGTCTTTACAGGAATCTCTGATAAAGGTAGTAAGAGTATTTAAAAGCCTTATATAAAGTTCAAACCACTGTGGTTTATATTATAGTTCTACCCAAATGGTGGGAAATATTTGAAAATCTATTTGAAAACTTTTTCTAAAATGGTTTTTCAACTCAAAAAGTCATGTATGAATGATTAACTATATTTTCAAACTATACATGGGGCCTTTAAAAAGCGACATGGAAATTGTTTTTTGGGGTAAAATGGTAAAATTAGGATATTTGTTATTGAATAATCTGTTCAGCAGATTTACACAGTATTTCTATGATATGTACAATAATATTTGTATGGCATTCTATTTCAGACACTACCAGATTTGAAGAGTCTTTGGAGCTGCTGGCTCCTTTGTGATAAACCAGCCAATGAGGATCCAGCAGAAACGGATATAGCCAATGAAAAATCAGTAAAACTTGAAGCAACCAATGAAAAGACAGATGACAATAAATCCACCAATGAGATTGCACCAAAAGATAACACAGTGCCACCTATTGAGACATCTAGTAAGTGAATTGTGAATTTATTGCATATTAAATATTGTATTTTACAAAGTTATCTCAGATCATCAATAAGTCTGAAAGGACAACAGAAAATACTGTAAATGATAATTGTTACATGCTCTGTATGATCTTAAACATCTGAAAATAAGTCCTGTTTGAAGCCTCAATATATAGACTATTTAGTCTAGGAACAATGGTGTGTTACATTTGTCTATGGAGTATTTCTTCATTCCCATTTTCACTACATGTTGTATTTTTTTATCATAAGTTGTTTTCAATAAATTGAGAGGTTATTCTTAAATGACTTTTTGTGGTCGATTTTGAAACTACCAAACACCAACTGGAAGTTTAAAATTGAATGTCTTCCCATTATTATGTCCGTAAAACTCCTGTTTTTGTAGGTAAGGCTGTATTGACTATTGATGTCCTGTCACATGCCAAACTAGTTCTTGAAACCCTCGGTATTTACGTCGACACTTTCCCAGAATCCTCTCTTGATGATGTCATAGATGTTCCCAAACTTCTTGAAGATGTAGAATCAATTTCACGTTCATCTAGACTATCTTCTCCTGAAGGAAGTCAAGATTTGCAGATATATGTGCTTCAGATTCTTTCTAAGCTAGATGCAAAGAAATTGCTGGATATCCCTCATGTAAGTTGTAAACTTAATCGTATTATTATGTCACCACCAGAAGTGGTGACATATTGTTATTGTCCACTTTTTTAGCTCAGTGTTCTGCAGTTGGTGTTTTGGCGTCTGTAACTAATAGTGTTCGGTGGTCAGTGTCTGTAACAAATGACAGGTAGTGATGACCAGAAGTGGTGACTTATTGTTATCGTCTCCATCCAATTCTTTTTAGCTCAGTGTTCTGCAGTTGGTGTTTTGCTTTCGGCATCTGTAACTAATAGTGTTTGGTGGTCAGTGTCTGTAACAAATGACACGTGGTGACATTTTGCATGTAAATCCCTGCACTTGTCTCCCAATTCAGATTTTTTATATGCTGGTGTGTTATAGAACGATATAGTACATGTACATGCAATATAATACTGTTATTGAAATAAGCATATGAAAACAATAAAATGGTGCCTTCTTGAAAAAATAGAACAAACTATAATAGGCTATAATGTGTGTTCTTTGAATATATAATGTATTGTGCACGTTAGAGACCTCATGCATTGTAATAGCATTCATATTGAAATCATTATCTCTTTTATTGAATTGAAAAAATATCATGATATGATTTTAAATGATTTTGCTTTTAAAAATATAACATTCCAAAAAAATATAGAGAACGAGTGTCAAATATAGATTGCGACAAGTAGATAAAAATGATATCAAGACATGTTTGCTCATTCAGATATCAATATCCATTCATGGATAAAAGTCATATAACTCATTTCAATTTTATATTTCAATTGTCTACTTTCAGGAGGAGAATGAGAAGAGCGTTGTATATAAACTATTGGAGTTGTTACTTCACACTTCGGATGATACCAGTCTTAATATTGCAACCATGAAGTCACTTTGTCAGGTATGTACTGTTATTTATAGGATATCCTATAATTTTGAGGAATATCATTTTTTATCTACGAGGTGATATTGATATCTGCACGAGAGAGTAAAGCGAACGAGTGCATATATCAATATCAACGAGTAGATTAAAATGATATTCTGAAAAAAATCATAGGATGTTCTTATTATCCTACATTTACAAGGAGTGTACTTAATGTATATTATCATTGTAAAATGAATTTCATGCCAAATAGAGTACATTTGGCGGGAAATCAACAAGCGGAGTATATCGTCACAATATCCTCCGCATACTGGGTTTTCCGGAGTATATCGTCACGATATCCTCCGCCCGGAGTATATCGTTACGATATCCTCCGGATATTCAATTTGCCAATAAATATCAAATTTATTTTTCATGTTATTATACATTAAGTACACTAAGTGTAGGATAAGTTAAGTTATGCTACCAACATTTATATGAGTTTCCCAGCTCGATCACTCAATTGTTTTCTGTATGCTCCAGTCCTTAGTACATGTAGGATTGCTTTATCGCTGTTATGTTGACATATTTTTGTGATTTAATAATAAAAGAATGAAAAAGATATTACAAATTTGGGTGGGGATGTTACTTCGTAATTTACTGTTATGATATAATTTCTTATGGCAACACCCGTTAAACACAAGACAAATGACATTTTACATAACTTTATAGTAGACAATTTATTTTAGAACTTACATTTACATGAATAAGAATTTTTCTATTTTTTCACATGGTTCAGAACACAATATGCATTAGGGATGTCACGGGACAAAAATACAGGATGGGAATTGTCCATTCCGGGACGGGACTTTCGGGATGGGACAGAACATAACCAACAAAATAGTTAATCACAGTAAAAAACTTACATTTTCCGTCTACTTCCGGTTTGCTCATGCAGCGCGGATCTTTTAAACGTCACAAAAGACTGCACATGTTGCGCAAAACTTGTTATCTGAGATTAATTTTAAGTTGTTACTTTTCCCTGTGACATCCCTACAATGCATGTACCACTGCTATATACTATTTCAGATCTTAGATGGCACTGGAATCTTCACTCAGCATAAAACAGAGTTGAATATCTGGTTCACTGAGCTACAGCACCTGGCTAAACTCAATAAAGACCCCTCGGCTATTTTGACTCTCTTAGAACGGGGATTTCAGGCCCTTCTTGAAGACCCCTTCAAGTATATTGATAAAATCAGGGCTTTGGGGTCATCTGAGAACAGTGGCAAAGAGAAAGTGGAAGAAAACATGGAATGTGACTTAGATGTCAACATCAAAGGTACGGTATCTCTATTTTTATGTCGTGTTATAGGGACTGATTTAGAATTTTGAGTCAGGTATGGTGACTCCATTGAATGGGAGGCTTGAAGGAGGGTGAATGGGAGGTTAGAGGTATGATGTCCATTGAATGGGAGGCTAGGGGTAGGGTTGGTGCAAGGAACAAAACAAGATATCTAATGTAGAATATGGAAGGACATTTTAATCAACAAAATTTTCTGTTAGTGTTACTCCACTCTGTTTGCCCCATGATGTTTAAGAGCACACTTAAAACTGCTTATTGTCAGATCTTGAATATGATAAGTTTTGTATTACAAGTAGCCTAAAATGCTGCATAAAGATGTCTCTGATAATTGAGATAAAAGATGGCAGCATTGCAGATATACATTGAGATGCAGACCAGGCACAGATCCTTGAGTATGAAGAACAGTACAATAGCCAGATAGAAACACCCCAGGCAGGCTATTATAGAGCAATAGTAGTTCACCTCTATAGCAAGCCACCAGTCAAACTGACCTGAAATAAAAGAACAAAAAACAGTAGCGTTAAAAAGATGCCATTGAAAAGCACAAAGAGCAACAGTTGTAAAACAAAAGAACAAATGAAACCAATATGAAATTGTCAAGAATTTGAAAAATAAGACAAGTTGCTAAATCTAATTCTGATTCCCCTTTATAATATAAATCTTAACTCAAATGAACACCTCTCAATGTGAACACTTAAGTCTCAATTTATAGATGTCTCATTATGTTGAATGTAATCAGAGCATCTTAATGTGAACACACTCCCGATGTGAACACTTTAGTTGGCCCCATTCAATTTAAACATGTTTTACTGTACGTGAAGAAGGTCAGGCTAGATTTATTTCATGTGCTAGTCTAAAAAGCAAGGAAGTCATTCTGACCATTTTCAGTATTTGTTTGTGTGTAAACAACAGTTTTTTACACACAGTGCAGTATATAACACTTCTTCATATCAGTGAAAAATACAAATAAACACATATTAGACATAAATAGATTTAAAGTAGCATATCCCATGGATGGGATGGATATATGGCGTTACCAAACATTTGAAAACAAGTTATAATTATTTAATATCTCATTGCATATTATATTTATACATTATTGTTGTTGCTGATAAAGGTTCCTGTGTCAGTGTAACACAATCAGATTTACTTTGATAAGCTGGAATTGAGAGAACAATCACCGCCTTTGGTACTTTAATCTTGCAGCATCATCATGTTCTCAATAATATTAATCTTTAAGCTCAATTAATCCGAGAGCATCAAGTTCAAAGCACAAGATTAGTAATTGGTGATTACATAGACTGACTCACATTATAGAGTGCCTTTCTAATTGACATATGTCACCTCAAGTGTCTTACACAATATTAAGATGAGTTTTTTCTATAATATGCCATATATCTGTACTTGATTTCATAGAATCATGATTGATTAGTAATTTTCTCTTATTTATGCTCATAGTTTTGCTAGAAAAGAATTTGCTATAATAGATGGATATATAGATGGCAGAAGTTGTTTTGGTCAGGCTAGAATTACAGAGCATATTACACTTTCTGATGACAATTTGGCTATAGCGAGCAACCATTTTGAAAATAGTGTCCATTTTGTGTGTATTTTACGATTTTTGCTATATACTTTGTTTGTAAAAATGCCAGCCATGGCTGTTCAATGGGATTTCCTATGCGTTGGCTTTGCTGTGATCTAGTTTATTAAGAAGGCCATTGAACATTATAATGAGCTGGGAAATATGTAAGGCCTTACCTAGTACTATTTGTATAAAGAACATAATAGCTCCAACAATACAGTTAGGTTGGTTAAGGTAACTGTTCTTCCCAACCAGATACTCCACAAAGCCAAACCCTGTACCATATCTAGAATAATACAAAACGTACTGCTATGGTTTGGTAAAACATATCTTTGATTGAACACCTCAATATTGAATTGCTCAAAATGTGAATGTTAGGTATGCTCTTGCATTAGGTACCTAAATATTAGGTTTTTATGCATAAGATACATTTATTTGTTAATATGAGGTATGTATTCATATAAGGTTTGTTCATGTGAGGTATTGTTCAGATGAGATTTGTTCATATGAGATATGTGTTTATATGGGGTGCGTTCATATAAGTATGTGTTTGTTTGAGGTATACATTTATATGCGGTATGTGTTCATATGGAGTGTGTTCATATGAGGTATGTGTTTGTATGAGGTGTAAGTTCATGTGAGTTGGGTCATATGAGGTGTGGTCAAATGAGGTATGTGTTCAATTGAGGTTTGAGTGTTTAAAATGTTAAATGTTTTATTTCTTTCATAATACTATTCAACAAATTAATACAGGGCCTTAACGCTGAAGCATTATTCAATTGATGTATTTGATTGTATTGGATGTATGTTTAAATAAGGTAGATATAGGTGTTGAGCAAATAGTATTAACCCTAATTCCCTTTCATTAGTTTTAATAAAGCAATTGACATGCTGTATAATCAAAACTTAATCTAATAAATACTAAAAAGGCATATGAGCTTAATCCACCTTCAGAATATTGTAGTAATTAGTAGCCTGGCCAGAACAAGTCATGCCTCTCTATTTTCTCAATAACTTTCTCAATTTTGAATATTTCTTCATGAAATTTTCATAGAATAAACTTTAAAAAATTCCTAATATACAATTTTTTTTATATGGTAAATGCCTCATTAATTTTATTGTTACAACTTTTTAAAAAATAATGTCATATTCTGTTGATGGGTCATTTTTGTCGCCATTTGAAAGCATCTTTTATCTCCATCAAGTATGACAATAGGCGAGTAGAAATGCCTTTTATGGGACAAGTAGTATAGAGGCTTGAGATCATGAGGTCTTGAAATAGTATGATGGATTTAGAACACTAAAAAAGGTAAATGATCCCCTATCAAAGACTGAAATCAAATTTGTAGACCATATTAGGACAGAACGTAATTTAGATTTTTTGTATCTTTTTAGAAAAAATGGCAACAAAAATGACCCATCAACAGAATATGACATTATTTTTTAAAAGGTTGTAACAATGAAATTAAGGAGGCATTTACCATATAAAAAAATTTGTATGTTAGGAATTCTTTAAAGTTTATTCTGTGAAAATTTCATGAAAAAATATTCAAAATTGAGAAAGTTATTGAGAAAATAGAGAGGCATGACTTGTTCTGGCCAGGCTACTAATCTAAAAAGAGGTCTAATATATAACTTTACCTTGAAGTAAGAACTCTTGAGCATGACATGTGTTCATTCAAGTCACACATGGCCACATATTGCGGATCCTTATGCTTCCTAATCTCAATATACAGGGCATATAAGGACACGATGATCCCGATCGCATTGAAGAGTGTGTGGTCAAATGTGTTTGACCATATCAGATATCCCAAACTTGTCGGAAACATTCTTCAGTGTTCTTTTCTTTCTTGGAATGTGTAGCTGAAGTTAGATACTGATACTTTTGAAGTTGTAGTGTTAGTTCAGTTCCTCTTTTTGTTCAATATTGTTACCTTCAGATAGATTACAGGAAACACTGATGTTGTGTAGTTAGGTCTTGTTTTTTGTTTGCTTGGTTACTTGTTCAGCTTCTTGCTCTGTAGCTGTAAATTCTTTGCTGCAATTACTCTGTAAATGGAAATTCCAGCTCTTCTTCAGTTATCAGATATGTGTAAATGTACATGTATACAGAACTGTTACAATATATCAATCTTATACTTAGACTTTGTCCAGCTTATTGAAGTATCTCAGATTGTCCTGTCTGTCTCGTCATTGATCAGATGTACTGCTTTGATAAATTGCAAGTAATGCTAATAACCTGACCAAATTACAATACGTCAGTCTATTAATCTGCTGTTCCAAACACACACAACAGGCCTGACTATACTGGAAATGATTGCTTCCTTTACAAATACTACCTGTGCAGTGAAACCTGTCTAAGTGGAACACCTTTGGTACCTCTAAAGAGTCTTCCATTTCTGAGCTGGTCCACATATAGAGGATCATTTATTTAACATGAAGTTAATTAGTCTTGGAACTCTGAAGTGTTCCATTAATGGATATGTTCCAGTTTACATGTTTCCCTGTAAGTAAAAAGTGTTCACTGTAGGTAGGTGTTCATTACAGATAGGGTTTTTTTATACAAAAGTCAATGTAAAATGTGTTTGAAGTGGTTTTCCCTTAACACAGGTGTTCACTAAGACAGGTTTTACTGTATTTTGCAAATGTGTTAAGGTGTATGGTGTGATATATTCAATGCTTTATTGTTCAAAGGATGATATTTATAGTTATCTATATTTTATATTGTACATTGTTCTCTGTTTAATGTCATTCAATGCGATTTTTGTTTGTTCAGTATGTCCAGATAATGAACAATATTTTAAAACATTATTATTGTGTAGAAATAACTTTTGTATAGTGTATAGTTGATACAATTGCCTTTTTAATTCAGTTAATGTCAATATGATTTCAATAGATGCCAATTAAGGGAAGCTCATCACCAAGAAGATTATTAGCAAAATCAGAAAAATGATATTGTTAATTGATTTAACTTTGCAACCCTCCCCCTACTAGAACAAGCTGTGTGAGAAGATGTGTAGCCAAGAGGGGGGGGGGGGTTACAGAGCCTTGTAGCTAGACTTACAAACTTTGTTTGGTACAAAGAAAGTCAATGATACAGGGTGTCCAAAAAAAACAGGACCGTAAGAAAGTTGAATAACTCGTTCAATTTTGCATATTTTGCCTTGAAATTTTAGAATTATTTAGGTCATTCAATGTGAGTTTTGTTCTGAATGTTTAATGATAATCTGTTTATTGTGTCAAAAACTACAGTCCTTTACAAAACATGCTCAAAGTGGGCACTTCTCCTCTCTATGCACAAACGAATCCTGTGAACAAAGTTGTTAATGACCCTGACCTCTACACATTAATGTGGATGGTAAATACTGGGGTAGTTATTGCCCTCTTAAGATTGTTAGGGGCCTGTCAGTATACACATTGGCTTTGGGAAATCCTCAAAGATAAAAATTTGGGGGATTTAGAACAGGCGAATGAGGTGCCCATATGGTTTGCATTCTGCAACTGATGAGTTGACCACCAAAGCATTGCCTAAACCATTTCAGCATATCATTTGCAGTGTTGGGGTGGTATTGGCTTGTTGAAACCACTGCCTAATTATCTCCTTAGATGTCCCTTCTGGTGCTTAGTGACCTCCAAAACTTGGTGAGAACTTACTAGTCCTTGTTCATGGTGATAGCATGTCCCCAGTCATCTTCGAACCAAAAGGGACTGATGATTCCATGTTTCCCAATTGCCACCCAGGCAGTGCATTGTTCAGAATGCAATGGATGCTGTAACACTTCATCAGGAGGATGTAAGCCCCAGTAGCAATTGTTCTTAGAACAAACTTGTCCATTCAGAGACATGTGTGTAGGAGGATCATCAACAACTTTGTTCGCCGAATTGAATTGTGCATAGAGATGAGAGGTGCACATTTGGGGCATGTTTTGTAAGGAGCTGTAGTTTTTGACTCAATCGATAGATTATTATCAAACTTTAACAACAAAATTCACATTGAATGAACTAAATAATTCTGAAATTTCAAGGCAAAATATGCAAAATTGACCGAGTTATTCAACTTTCTTACGGTCCTGTTTTTTTTGGACACCCTGTATTTGACTGTTGATAGTTGAAATATACTGAATTTTACAATAAACCATTTACTGCTTGTAAAGTACCATTAACTGTTCACAGTTGGCCACTACTGAAATACCATTGACTACTTCTAATAGGATGATCTATCCCTGAATTGTTGACCTTTTTGATTTACATTCTTGTGTGAAATTTTAACAGTTGACCCGAATAGCAGTCTACAATTATATACAGTAAACCTACATTGTATACGAATACTGAGTCAAGCATCTTATCAGAACTTCTCGCAGCTTAAAGCTCATTTTGAAATACACAGTCTAGCTATTTCACTTTTCACTATAAAGGCTATTAGAATAGAATGAAACTCATATGATACCTCTTAATTTTTCATCAATTTCTCTATTATGGCCAATAATTGAAAGTCAGACTTCATTCTAATATTGGGAAAAATTCCCCAATTGCATCTGTATTTGACGTATTATTATTAGTAAATATTCACGTTTTAGACTTCACTTCACAGGCATTATTGGCAAAATCCAATGAATATCCAAAATAATTTTTAAAATATGATTATATGATTCTTTGCTCTCAAAAGACAGGCATAGTAATATGGCTCAGAGTGTTTTATTCATACCTCAGAAATTAGGTCCTGATGAAGTTATTTTGACTTATAAGTAATTAGTTGTTATTATGAAGATTGATTTTTTCTCATCTGACATATCATATGGCACTCTAGAGTTATTATGAGAAGCCACAAAGCTTTAGCAATGTCATCTTTGCCTGTGGGTTGATGACTGTTTAATCAGCAGGTTTGCTGCAAATTAGATGTACATCCACCTTTATTTATATGCTTTGTGTACTTCATTATTTAGCAGCTCATTGTGCAGAATACAAATTGAAAAATGCTTAATTCCAGTGAATCACAAAGATGTATTTATTAATTATTGCTATTATTTTTCTTCATCAAATCACATGGATTAAATTAATATTACTCTGAAAGGAATAATTTCACACATATGTACTTATATTACAGTGGTCAGGGTATTTGTCAAGTGTATCATAATTTAGCAATTCTTATTTCTACTGATTCCCATTTCATTTTTTTTTCAATTAGTAAAGTTCTATGTTTATGTGTTTTTCAGATATATTGATGATGGCTGATATTGTTATAGATGGCAGCACTACAACAACTCCCTCTAGTGAACAAGTAATTGAGCAGACATATCCATTTAGCCCCCTAGTGGTGATCTTATTGGATATCCTAGATGACAACTCAAATGATGGTATTCACTGTTTGGTATTAGTAAAAGAAAGATAACTTATCTGATTGGTACATGATGATGTAATGACATCTTTTCATACTGCAAAAAAGCAAAAAGTAAAATAAAAGATCAACATTTAAGAGAAATGTCCCAACTACTGTGTAACACTTCTAAACCCTTATTATCCCATCAAACGAAGTTCGGAGGGATATAGGGAACGCCTCCATCCGTACGTACGTCCATCCGTCCGTCCGTCCGGGCAATAACTCAAATACCATTGGCCCGATTTTGCTCATATTTTGTACACATGTACCCTATTGGGGTAGAATTTCTGCTCGAAAGCTGATTTTCAAAACGGCCACTCATTTCAAAATGGCGGCCATTTTAGTGCCGAGTTTACTGTAATTTAGGTGCAATATGTAAACTGTAATAGCAATATGTTTTAAATGTAAAAAAATTATATAGGACATTGATAAAGCTAGAAATGTAGATATTAAAGAAGCACATGGCAGCCATCTTGAAAAATGGCGGCCTTTACTCGTTATTTTACTTTTTTTGCTGCAACTCGAACAGTAGTGGAGCGATTATTTGTTCATATTTGGTATGTGAATACTATGAGCATTGCACACTGTCTAAAGACACTTTTGGTAGAAGGTGGCCATTTTGAAAAATGGACGCCATTTTAACGTATTTTACTAGTAACTCGAAAAGTAGTGGAGCGATTTTGTTCATATTTGGTATGTGAATACTATAAGCATGGCACATTGTCCTATGAGACTTTTGGTAGAAGGTGGGCATTTTGAAAAAGATTTTGAACATATTTTACTATAATTGAAAAGTAGTGAAGCGATTTTGTTCATATTTAGTATGTGAATAGTACTGAATACTATAAGCATGGCAAACTGTCTAATGACACTTTTGGTAGAAGGTGGCCATTTTGTTCATATTTGATATGTGAATACTAAAAGCATGGCACATTGTCTAATAAAAAATTTTAAAAAATGGCCACCATTTACAAGTACATGTGTGCAATTTTTCAAAAATTTTATAGGTGGCTACTTAAAAGCTTATTATTCCCTCTGATGACAACTTGGCTAGTGAGCAACCATTTTGAAAATGGTTGCCTTTCTTATGTGTGTTATTTTATGATATTTGCTATATTTTTCTTTTGTAAAAATGCCAGCCTTATGTTCGATGGGATTCGCTACGCTTTGGCGTTGCAGTTGTTCTGGTTTAAAAATGATTTGCCTATAAGCTGATCTATATATTGCCTAATACATGTAACACTTCTAAATCCTTATTTAAAAATGATTTGCTTAAGCTGACCAGAGAGCCTAAAAATATTATATGATATTAAATGTTCATGTTTTCCAGTGGTTCTGTTGTATGTGAACAATGTTTTAACTGATATCCTGCACAGTCAGATCAACCCAGTGTCTCTTTGTTCTCTGGTTGATCAATACAGTGGGCCCTTAAAGGAACAAACAATAGTTCAATATGTTCAGTTCTGGCTACCAAATGCTCAAGAAAAAATCACTGTAAGTACATATGCTTGTTGTACAGTAGTTGATTAATTTCGTTTATACACATAGCTCTGTTAACTAAGATTAAATCCATATTTCATGTTTGTGGGATATGTATATCTGTATATTAGTACAATAACGTCATTTCGAAGGGCAATATAGTGAAATATTGGACCGAGGGCCGAAGGCCGCCCGAAGAAATGACATTATTAGTATTATTACCACCATTAATGACCAGGACTGAAACAGCAAGAAAATCTTACGCACTGAACGATATCTAATTTCCCGGGGAAAATTGCCAGTCGTTAAATGCATTCTCGACCAGTCGTTAATGCATTCGTGACCACTACTATGATGTCACATATTGCTCAGGTCGATATAGTAAAATGAATGCCTTCTAAACTAGCACTAAAACCCCTAGAACTGGCCCGGTAAGGTGGTATTAATAGTCCTTTCAGACTAGTGTAAAATACTTGTTTGTCTCTTATACATGTAGAAAAGCATTCCATAACATTATAAAACAATTTCAGTCTGGAGGTTAAAGCAATATATCAACACTTTTTTGTTTGTATAAGTTATAACCATACTTAAATGCCCGTTTACAGAAGAAAAAGATGAAAAAGAGGAAATCCACACGTCCCACCTTGGACTCTGTCAAGGCTCTCCTCCAGTCACATTTCATGCAGGATGAAAAAGAGGCTGACCTTGTTGCTAGGTGGAGTGACCTTGAAGAATCTGAGATAGTGCCATCTATACAACAGTTACTGCTCTACATCCACTGGGTTGTCAAATTTAAACCTGTAAGTGCTTATCATTTTTATGACACAAGGCTAATAATATTATGTTTCTAACAGTTAACATGTCCATTTCAAAAATTACTTTACGTTATTTCGATTCAGATTTTTTATCATTATCACCCTTTGAAAAAGTGCTTCTTTGCTTTTGTCTTGTGCTGATGGGTGGGCAGGTGTGTGTCCTTTTCGACTCTCCAGTGATATACCTTGCCAGACCATCTCTCTCTTATAATATCGTAGCTATAACTACATGTTTACTTTCCATGTTTAGAAAAACATCGAAATATGTTTTGATATGGTCAGTTTTGATCACGCAGCAATAAGGACTGCCGAGTCGTATCCAATGATCCTGGGCCTATCGTAAAATGAAAGCTTTAAATGTGTTAAAGCATTCAAACATGGATATATTTTCCTTATGCAACTACAATTTGTGCACAGACCTATCAATTGATAATGGCAAAAGAAAATTTCGTCTTCATCATATCTCCTTCGTCTCCACAATTTTTATTAGACCGGAAGTTTGTTCTCTAACCATGGTAACCATTCTTGTAGAAAAATAATTCATTATTGTAAAAAGCCAGAAATATTCTAAAATTGAAACAATTTTTTGTTAGGCTGCTTGCTAGATCTGATTAGGCAAACAAAAAATTTCAATAAATTGAGAAGAAAATAAAACAGTACTTTATAGTATGCAAACAATTTATTTGATGTAACAACTTATTTGTAAATTATATTAGTATGTTATGTATGTTATTCATAATTATATCAGATTATTCTACCAAATTATAAAAAAAGTTGTCAGTGTTGTTTAACTGTAACACTTTTCAAGATGGTGACATTTTACAATTGTCAAACTTTTCCAGCTTGTGACATTTTACAATTGTCATACTTTTCCAGATGGTGACATTTTACAATTGTCAAACTTTTCTAGATGTTGACATTTTACAATTGTCAAACTTTTCCAGATGGTGACATTTTACAATTGTCAAACTTTTACAAATGGTGACATTTTACAATTGTCAAACTTTTCCAGATGGTGACATTTTACAATTGTCGAACTTTTCCATGTGTTTGCATATTGTCAAGTTTGTGTCTCATTTTCATTAATCCAAATAAACATCTGGTTAGGGATATCGCAATTATAGAATAACATTTAAGAAGTTATGTGGTATGTTAAAATGTTGCTGCTAAATGACATGCATATAAACATGACCCTAGTACATGTATGTGTAACATATATTTTTTGTCATGTTAGTAGTTTATGAGAGGTCCATAACAGCGGTTGGGAGTATTATCATCTGTATTGCGAAAATAGTCCACAGTTGCATTGGCAAATTCCTCCTGGCTTAGCAATCCATCACTATTTGTATCGATGTAGTCAAACTCACACTACCCTACCTCGACAGCGCATGTGCGAATTTTTGGGTTTTCAGACAGGTCGCTTTTCAGTATACCGACTGCTTAGTCATAAGGTTAATACGTTTGATGCTCGGAGTGAGTCAATATTACTATTTTCTGAACTTCAGTTGTGCAATAATGAAGTCCATGTTCCAGTTATATGATAGTTGAAGAAAGAATGTAAATAATATCGTTTTAAATTTTAAAATATTTGATATGTCATAGTACATGGTACACAGTTGCAAAAGTTGATCAACACAGGGTACAAGGAATGTAAATTGTTCAATAGTACAGGGAGCGAGAAAGTAAGCTGATTATACAGACATACTATGTCCCGATCTCATGTATATTTACATTGCAAACAGTGAAACTAATGCTAAAAAGGCCGCCGAGGTGTCATCAATTGTTATTTAATCCAAATAAAGTAAACATTATTTAGTAGATTTAGACACGGGCTTCCAGGTCGTATATGCATTTTAGTTATTAAATTAACAAGAACGCTAGATTATACGTGTTACTAGGGTATCAAATTGAAATAAAATAACGAAATTAAATATAAACACGTAAGTGATAAATGACTATCGGCTATCAGGATTAATGACTATCCGCTATTCAGAATAATTAAAATTGCGTGAACTACAGGGTGGTCCAAAAAAAATTGGAACATTTGTTAATTGAACGCAAAACCTTTATTTTTCTTCTAAAATGTACCAAACTTTTACTGAGTATAGTTCAGTCACTTATTTATCTGATGTAAAGTTTATAGGCGAAAACCTCAAAGTTAATGCATTAAACTAGTCGATATTTGATATGACCCCTCTTCTCCTGACTTACAAGTTGAAGCCTGGGGCTCAGATTTGTAAATATTCAATTAGTTTGCTGTTCGTTTGTTTTGTCCAAGCCATCTCAATTAAAAATTTCAGCTTGATCAAACTTCCTATTTGTTTGCCTTGGAAGATCAAATCTAGTAACATATTTAACATTTTTTACCCAAATTCATGAGTATCAAGCATATTTTGATGGCTATTGTTGGGTATATTACTGATTGAATATTCTCCAGAAAGAGGCCAGGGCAGTCTGATTTGACTGGTAAATGAAGCCCCCGTCCCTTAATTGTTCTGATATGAATGATATCCATTGGATATATCAATATGTCTATCAATATCATAGAGAGAACACAAATGGTATATTATATGTATATTATACACTGTATGTGTGCTTAGCATTGGTTTTTAATGTGAATAACTGGCCATGGTCAGTTTTGCCTTTACTGAAAAGTGGGAACAATTCTTTTGACACTTGAGTAGCTGTTAGGGTTATGCAATCGCTCACCTCTGACATGTTCCTTTTTCCCTACTCTTAAATGAAAATGATCATTTTGGGTATTGTTTAAGTTTAAGTTAACACAATATTTTTCTGGCAAACCTCAGATGAAAATACTCTTTGTCAACTGAATATGATTTTATAAAATATTTATAGCAATTAACATGTGCATTAAAGCTTTGAAATAAATAATACTTGAAAAAGTAGCCGCGGAATTGACAAGTGTATATTTAAGAAAAGGGGGTCCTATCAAACATTGACTAGTTTAATGCATTAACTTTGTGGTTTTCACCTATAAACTTTACATCAGATAAATAAGTGATTGAACTATGCTCAGTAAAAGTTTGGTACATTTTAGAAGAAAAATAAAGGTTTTGCGTTCAATTAACAAATGTTCTAATTTTTTTTGGACCACCCTGTACATGTAAAGAATCTTTCTATATAACCCCTTGAATGGTCTAATTCACTACCGTCCTCAAAAACCGATCATTTAAAATAGTTTGTTCAAAATACCATCATGCCACGACATTTTGTTCTTCACGATTTGCTGTAGAGGTGATATGACGTCGTATTTCTCTATTATTGTAAAAAAACTAATACCAGATCGATGTAGTCTTATATGACGTGTTGGATGTCAGATGTTTTTGGATGGTATCTACTCCAGTGATTTTGCATTTAATCATGAAACGCTCATCACAAGACACCTCGAAACAAACATTATCCTCCTTGTGACAAGAGGAAAAATGTTTCACAATATGTTATGCCTTACGGCAAAGTAAAGATACATTTCTGGGACGACTTTTTGCATCTTAAGATTTTAGAAAAACAATTAATTCACAAAAGTACAGTTGAATAACATACAGGAAAACGTATCCACATATAACACGATGACATGCGGTTTAAATAACAGTTTACTGGGGTTTCGTTACATATCAATGTAACATTTTCGAAGGGAAACTTACATGCTCCCTGTACGTTGACAGATTTACTGAAATGTATCGTGTATTGCATTGAGTTTTGCTTCACTGCGCCCACTATTATCTATCTTTGCCTATAGTGGTTTTTTGCCAACAATATTCTACAAACTGCTTGATGAATCAATTCTTTGTCTGGTAGAACACTAAAAATAAGTGTAAAATGTATTTTACGTTCAGAAATATGGAATTAAACCCACGTCCTCCATTTGCAACTTAGCTGTACCCTGTTTCTCTTTTAAACATGGTCACGTGGTAGGGTAGTGTGAAACTGCATTCGTGCAAATCTCTTGTCAAGACTCATCCCTTTCCATAATATCATGTAGTTATCAAATGTCACGAAGCCAGGGGAATCCATGCATAAAGCCTACAAATGAATGCAACAGAGTTAATATGATAGATATATGCTATATATGTTTCTCAAATTCTAAATATTTAAAAAATGCAACAAACAAATAAATCATAAAATCACAAAACAAGTGATGATTAAATGCACTGATTTTATTCAATGTGAGCTACCCTAAGCCAAATGGTTGGCTGTATTAAATGATTCCATGCGCAAATGGGTGAAAGTTTGATCGTGACCAGGTTTTAGAAATTGCAAAAGTCAGTTCATGGGCCAGGTATAATTGCCCCATAAATGGTTTAGTTTATTTTGGATTTTTACCTGGAAAAGTTTCGAGGATTTTTTAATCCACTTTTCAATTGTTTCTGGGTCATCTTTGCATTTCCACACTGTAATAAGTTGGTCTGCCAATGAAACTGAACTTGGGATATCTTGTGAAGCCCCTTGATCACAATAACCTCGAAAGAGCTGGTATACGTCATCTCTTGCCTTGCCCATTAAGTTACCTGATGATCAAAGTTAATTATGGATGACCTGCATGGTTTTCATTTAGCAGGCCTTGAAAAGCTGTAGGAACTACTTTTCCTGATAAACATTCAAGCAAAAATAAAGATGAAGATAGCCTTAAATCATGCAATGATTGGCTCAATTTAAGAGTGAACAACTTGTTTTTGAGGCCAGGGTTTTATTTTTATTTACTAAATCGGATTTCATGGCAAATTGGTCCCCAGTGAAGTATATTCCCAATATCATAATAATGGAAGTGTTAGTGGGTTCACCATCGTAAAATTTGGCTTTCATAAGGTGGTAGCAATAAAATAATCTAAATCAGGTAAAAATGCTTAATACATCTTTAACTAAACCCATACTTCATGTGAGCCTATTATCCTTTGACACTATTCTTTTATAATTTATAGACGCAAGATAAACAAGTTCCATTCAATGAGTTTATTCAATAGACATTCAAAAGAATGAAAAAATATGATTTGTGTCTGCTTTTTAAATTAAACGAAATATAAAAACCGAAAAATTCCAACAGCTCTAATACGCAAAATTTGTTGCGAAATTCCAAGGATATTCCCGGGGATTTCAATGTTGACAATATTTTTGTTCAGTGCTGGGCCATAATAGGTAAAAACGTGACCTTTCGAGTTTTGAAAAAGAGAAATTAGAAGAAAGATCTGTATTAGAATGTATTACATACCTAGCGAAGCATTTGTATGGAAGTCAATGGGAAAGTTAGCGAGCTATATCCACCGATATTGCCCGATTACCCCGATATAGCCCGCTTACCTCGTTTTGATATTAGATTTCTTTAATAACCATGATAATATCATGACGTCACGTCATTGATACAAAGTAACCATGGGAACAAAGGCATGTAATACATCAGTTATGTCACTATGACGTGAAATATGCCTTCGTTCTTGCCCAAATATAGAGCCTCCCAAGGTCGGCCTATATTGGGAGAACTCAGGCATATTTCACGTCATAGTGACATAACCTCTAAGAACAGCCAGAAATTTCAAAATGCCAAAAACACAAAATGAAAAAAGTCAATTAATTTTATTAGTTAAAATTAACAAGACGGATGCACGACAAAGGTCACGCTATAAAAAACAATAAATCTTAACAACCGTTTTGTAATAAGCATACCTGCTCTAACTATATTATCTGCAAATACCATGTGATCTTCTAGTCCAGCAATTCCATCTTTATCTTAATCCATGCATAATATTGTTGTTATTAGCTTTCTCATCCAAGTCAGGGGCAGCTGCCTGATCTATAGTGGTAAATATTCTTTTTAGGAATTTAATACGACTCGTATTAAGCTTTGTTGGTAGAATTTGCTATTGTAGGAGTTTTTCTAGTTTGATAACATTTGAATAGTATTAGAATAAATGTAATCGTATATTCCATCACACATCAATACCATTCTGGCATCTCAATATAAAAGCTGAGTGTGCTATGATTTTTTTTGTTGACTTGAAAATAATTTCAATATAAAATTCTTACCTGTATATTGGAAGAGATGTTAGCACTGTCAGTCATGGTTACTTCTCAGTTCTTTATAACGTAATAAACCTAGAATTTGGCTGATATTACTTTTGTACAACTTAACATTCAATGCATTGAGTGTCAAATAAACTTTCCTCTCTTTGAAATAGAAAATCACAGTGTTGGTTGAATAGCCGAGGTTATTGTGATCTTGTTTTTGACAGTTTAACTTTTATATGATAATGCCTAGGGACACAGTAGCTCTGTTCGAGGAAGAATTTTCAAAACGTCAGCTGAATTTCAAAATGGTTGCCATTTTTCTTAATTCAAATTTTATATGCTGATACCTAGGGACACTATAGCTTTATTCGAGAAAGATTTTCAAAATGACTGCAGAATTTCAAATGGCCGCCATTTTTAGTAAAAAAGAATGTAATCTTTGATAACTCAAATTTTAATTAATGGATATGGTTTAAATTTTTTTATGTTGATGCTTAGGGACAAATAAGCTCTGCTCAAGAAGGAATTTTCAAGATGGCCACTAATAATCTAAATATGTTTTGTTCGGTGGGATTTGCTACTCCGTGGAGTTGCTGTTTTTCTAGTTTCATCACACATTGATACCATCTCAACATTTCAATATAATGCTGAGAGTGCTATGATTTTTTGTTGACATGAAAATGATTTTATTTTTAATAATATAAAATGCTTACCTGTATATTGGAAGAGATGTTAGCATTGTCAGCCATGGTTACTTCTCAGTTCTTTATAATGTAATAAACCTAGGATTTGGCTGAGTTTACTTTTGTGCATCAAAACATTTAATTCATTGAGCATCATATAAACTTTCCTCTTTTTAAATAGAAAATCATGGTAATGGTAGAATAGCCAAGGTTATTGTGATCTTGTTTTTTATTAGCTCACATGGTGAGCTTTTGCAATCGCTCACTTGTCCGTCTGTCTGTCTGTCTGTCTGTCTGTCTGTCTGTCTGTCTGTCTGTCTGTCTGTCTGTCTGTCTGTCTGTCTGTCTGTCTGTCTGTCTGTCTGTCTGTCTGTCTGTCTGTCTGTCTGTCTGTCTGTCTGTCTGTCTGTCTGTCTGTCTGTCTGTCTGTCTGTCTGTCTGTCTGTCTGTCTGTCTGTCTGTCTGTCTGTCTGTCTGTCTGTCTGTCTGTCTGTCTGTCTGTCTGTCTGTCTGTCTGTCTGTCTGTCTGTCTGTCTGTCTGTCTGTCTGTCTGTCTGTCTGTCTGTCTGTCTGTCTGTCTGTCTGTCTGTCTGTCTGTCTGTCTGTCTGTCTGTCTGTCTGTCTGTCTGTCTGTCTGTCTGTCTGTCTGTCTGTCTGTCTGTCTGTCTGTCTGTCTGTCTGTCTGTCTGTCTGTCTGTCTGTCTGTCTGTCTGTCTGTCTGTCTGTCTGTCTGTCTGTCTGTCTGTCTGTCTGTCTGTCTGTCTGCCCATCACAATAGTGGCACGTTTTAAAACCTCTGTCGATAGGATTCCTGTTTTAAGTTATTTCTGTTCAACATCAATACAGAAAACTCCCCTATGACTCCTGGTTCAAAAGCTCGCCTATTTTCAAAATGGCCGCCATTTTTGTCTCGCGAAATTCACTTTTGACTGGCACGTTTTAAAACTTCTGTCGATAGGATTCCTGTTTTAAGTTATTTCTGTTCAACATCAATACAGAAAACTCCCCTATGACTCCTGGTTCAAAAGCTCGCCTATTTTCAAAATGGCCACCATTTTTGTCTCGCGAAATTCACTTTTGACCCATTTCCTAGCTTTACAAATAATTCCAGGTGTCCTACATTGTAAAAATCTGTGTCAATGTAAAGAGTAGATATATGAAATAATTTTGTTACAAAAAATCAGCGAAAAATTATATCTATTTTTTTATTTTCAGCCATTTTAGTTAACATTGATTTGTCCATCTGACTTGTGAAATCCACTTTTCCGTCAACAACAGTGGCACGTTTTAAAACCCCTGTCGATAGGATTCCTGTTTTAAGTTATTTCTGTTCAACATCAATACAGAAAACTCCCCTATGACTCCTGGCTCAAAAGCTCGCCTATTTTCAAAATGGCCGCCATTTTTGTCTTGCGAAATTCACTTTTGACCTATTTCCTAGCTTTACAAATAATTTCAAGTGTCCTACATTGTAAAAATCCATGTCAATGTAAAGAGTAGATGTATGAAATAATTTTGTTACGAAAAATCAGCAAAAAATTATATCCATTTTTTTTTTTTTTTTTTCAGCCATTTTAGTTAACATTGATTTGTCCATCTGTCTCGCAAAATCCACTTTTGGACCATTTGCCTTAAACCCTCTGTCGATAGGATTCCTGTTTTAAGTTAATTTTGTTCAACATCAATACAAAAAACTCTCCTATGACTCTTGGTACAAAAGCTTGCCTATTTTCAAAATGGTCACCATTCTTGTCCCGCGAAATTCACTTTTGGCCCATTTCCTAGCTTTACAAATAATTTCAGCTGTCCTGCATTGTAAAAAGCCATGTCACTGTAAAGAGTAGTTGTATGAAATAATTTTGTTACAAAAAATCGGCAAAATATTATATCAGTTTTTTTTATTTTCAGCCATTTTAGTTAACATTGATTCGTCCATCTGTGTCTCAGTCAGTCCAAAAAAGTGGCAAGTTTTAAACCTCTGTCAACACTTTTTAAATCCTCTGTAGATAGGATTCCCAATTTGAAATAATTTTGTTCAACATCAATAAAGAAAAAAAAACCTGTGACTCCTGCTTCAAAATCTTGCCTAATTTCAAAATGGCCACCATTTTTGTCTCGGGAAATTCACTTTTGGCCCATTTCCTAGCTTTACAAATAAGTTCAGGTGTCCTGTATTGTAAAAAGCCATGTCTTTGTAAAGAGTAGTTGTATGAAATAATTTTGTCACAAAAAATCTGCAAAAAATTATAGGGTGTTCCAAAAGTATCAGGACTGGTGCTGGCATTTTGTCAATTCTGCACCGAGTGTGTTCAAATTTTCACAAATGGTACCTTGGAGTAGTGCAACTAAAATTGTAAAGTTTCAGAAAAAATGATAAAATGCGGGTAAAGTTATGGTTACTATAGTAACGTGACATCACAATACCCGGGGCAACTTTTTCACGAAAATGTGATATCTAACATTTTTATATTACTGAAGAAAGTATCTGATTCACCTATTACAATACAACATTTCTTGTTTGTTTTATTAGTTACTTTATAGTAATGGTGTTGCTATACAACTCAGATTCAAGTATGATTTCATAATAATAATATTTATTCAATTTCCTGAAATATCATTATGTATTACAGTCTGGACAATTTACGATTGAGTTTTTGAAAAGACCCAATTTTAAGCCAATTATCCACCTTGATAAGGCGTCTGCCCGCAAGTCAGAATTAAAGACTGCTGCAGCTATAGCGGAGTTAGGTCTTGAGGTCTAAGACCATGCACTATACTCTTCTGATCATGCAATATCTAATTTTTACTTTTATTTGGAGAATGGAATGCTAATCAGCGCGGTAAGACCGTTAAAGATGAGAATGACCTTCTCTAAGTTGTCCTATCGACCCTGTGTGACATGTCATCAAATGGGTTTACTCATGTGTTTGAGTCATGGATACTGAGTGCTACTCTTGGACTGACCAAAGAGGACCCTACTTTTCAAAGTAGAGGATACATAGGAATATCAAATGATGTATTTAGCCAATGCAATTCCCACCAGTTGTTGGATTCTAACTTTGATATGGGATGTACAAAATGCTAAAGTCTCCGTAACTTTCTGCGTGGAATGTTGCCCCGGGTAGTGTGATGTCACGTTACCATAGCAACCATAACTCTACCCAAGTTTCATAATTTTTGTCGAAACTGTGCAGTCTAAGTAACAATACATGGAAGTACATCATGTAAAATTTTGAAGATGATTGGTGCATATTCAACAAGATGCCAGCACCAGTCCTGTTACTTTTGGAACACCCTGTATACTTGTCTTTTTTATTTTCACTTTTGAGCAACACCATGTGAGCCCAGTACCCACGGTACTAATTTTATTATCATTTTTATTTATGATCATCCAACTGAAAGAAGTTTTGGGGATATAGAGAATGACTGCATCTGTCCATCCATCTTTACCTTTGTCCATACATTTTTCTGTCCAGGCAATAACTTGAATACGGTTGGCCCAATATTGTTTATATTTTACATTAAAATTAAAATCAATATGGAAAAATGTTACTCAAACAATGGAATATAAAATGCCAGTGAGAGAGTCCATTGTTCACCAAAGACATTCTCACTTAGACTTCAATTTGAGGCAATGGCTATATCTATCTCAAACCCACATATGCATGATCCCATTAGAGGAAGTATAATCTTATCATTGCCCCAGTGTTATATGTACATTTTTTCTGTTTCGCAACATCAAGTTCACGAGAGAGACCAAGATATGTTAGTAGTTTATGAGAGGTCCATAAAAGCGGTTTAGAGTATTATCATCTGGATTGCGAAAATAGTCCACACATGCATTGGCAAAATCCTCCTGGCTTATTAATCCATCACCATTTGAATCCATGTAGTCAAACTGCATTTGTGCAAATCTCTTGTCAAGGCTCATCCCATTCCAATATATCATGTAGTTGTCAAATGTCATGAAGCCACAAGAATCCATGCATAAAGCCTATAATAAATCAATGCAATGAAGATGTTCTGATAATGCTGTTTTT